TGCTTAACCGCCCGGCCTCCTCGCCGATTCTGACCAGAAACTGGCGCACAGAGCTGGGATCGAACCCGCGCCTCTCTGCGCCAATCTTGGTACTCTGAACTTTAATCAATTATTATTAATATTATATTAAGATGGCAGTTCTCTGCATGTGTTGGTCCATGCAGAGATGAGGGAAGTTGGGGTGAGTCACTTGTCCTGATCACGCACGTTAAAAATGAATTCATATTTGAAAAAAAAGAAGAAATAGCATTTAAATAAATCGATCTGCGAAGTGTTTGTGCGCTGGAAATAAATGATAAGCTTTATGTTGGCTGTCATGTGAGATCGCTGCCGCGCTACAGTGTGGAGCAACTTCCTGATATTTAAACGTACATATTCAGCACTGCTGAACAGAAGATAACATAATATGTTGATGTTATCCTGAATATGTGGATATTCTTGTAATATAATATTCTGTAGGACCTAACGATATAAGGTTACAAGGAGGCCACTATCTAGTATCGTAAGAAATAAAGCTTTGCGATTGCTCTGGCATTCAAATAAAATTTGTAACATCGATAAACCTCTAAAAAAATCTTCATAACTTATAAATCAACACTTAAAGGTACGCATTACACTCGAATTAACCTTAAATTAAACTTCAACCCCCTGAGCATTGTTATAGAAATGCAATAATTTAAATAGAGGTGATCAGAGTGCATTACACCTTATTGTTGCTGGACATGTCAACTGTCAGCTGGACATGTCAGCTGTCAGCTGGACATGTCAGCTGTCAACTGGACATGTCAGCTGTCAGCTGGACATGTCAACTGTCAGCTGGACATGTCAACTGTCAGCTGGACAGGTCAACTGTCAGCTGGACATGTCAACTGTCAGCTGGACATGTCAACTGTCAGCTGGACATGTCAACTGTCAGCTGGACATGTCAACTGTCAGCTGGACATGTCAACTGTCAGCTGGACATGTCAGCTGGACATGTCAGCTGTCAGCTGGACATGTCAACTGTCAGCTGGACAGGTCAACTGTCAGCTGGACATGTCAACTGTCAACTGGACAGGTCAACTGTCAGCTGGACAGGTCAACTGTCAGCTTGACATGTCAACTGTCAACTGGACATGTCAGCTCCACACGTCGTGACCACGTCGAATTATATAGAATTTATAGAATGGAATAGAATTATTATTTAGAATTTGAATAGTTCAAAGTCAGGATTAACTTCCATGCACAACAACATCCGGAACAATAATGTCTGAAATTTCATTTTAAACGCGAAACATCAAAGGTTAAAATCAACTAAAACAACGTGATAAGCTAAATCTGGAATATTTTTCAAAGTAAACACTCTCATGCCGCTGAAGTAATTTCAACAGACAAATTTAACTTATTTGTGCAGAAAACAAATATAAGTAGAACATTAAGTTGAGTAAAGCTTCCTATAATTAAAAGTTTCAACCACCAACACAATCAAGTATCACACTCTCTTTGAACCGAGATATTAACTCGTGATTTTCATGCATTTGATTTCCAGAGAAAATATTCCAATAACATCCACACGTCAGCCAACAATATTCAGCCAAACCGTTATACAAGATCTTCAAACAAAATACAACACGTTATACATGACAATACATTACACATCTTCATCGACAAAACACTGAGAGCGCGAGATTTCCATTAAATACGAGGAAAGTATAAATTGCCATCACATGTACTGTATATTGCAGTAATATACATCAGCAATACAACACACATCAAACACGATATGCTAACACAACGATAAATGATAACGCATCGTTACATATCTCAGGTGATACGCATGGACGTGTTCACGACACGCGTGACATGCATGGACGTGTTCACGACACGCGTGACACGCATGAACGTGTTCACGACACGCATGAACGTGTTCACGACACGCGTGACACGCAGCTGTGCAGCGCACGACACCGCCAAACAAAGAATCAATCATCAATCATCAGAAGAAGGGTTACAAGTTTTTACGACAAAGTGCAGTCAACTTCTTGTTCCAGTTGATGAAACGTGAAGAAAAAAAGATACAAGAAAAGACTTAAGTTAAAATCCACTCAAGTGGACGAGTCAAAGCAACTCAGATACAATTGCCTTCAACCCCTTTGAAAGTTAACCTCATAACGAGTTAAACCCTTTGAGGGTTAAGCTCTAAGCAGGTTTACCCCTTTAAGAAATAACCCTTAAAAGGGTTAACCCTTAACCCTTAAAAGGGTTAACACTTACCCCTTAAAAGGGTTAACAGTTACCCCTTAAAAGGGTTAACACTTACCCCTTAAAAGGGTTAACCACCTAAAGGGTTAAGATTTAAGATTACAAAAAATACAACGACCGTTGGTATTGTCGATACAAGCAACACGCAGCAGGGTACAATATTTGCGAAACAAATGATTGATGATGGTAACATCACTACCAGTTGATGGCATCATCAATATGGAGCAAAGTGACAATCCTGCGGCAAGCTTAACGTCCATGCGCAGTAAATACTCAATATTTTCGTTTTTTTAAAGAAACCGTTACATTACTGATAAGATTTATTATAGCAGCGTTGTTTAGTAAGTGAAGAAATTTGCTGGTAAAAACTAGAGGGAATGGTGGCCACGTTAGGTGTTGTCACAGCAGCACGCTGTGCCTGTGAGCAAACTGATAATAGAACATGTGAACACTGATGTGCTGCACACTGCTGCAGCACATCAGTGACGATGCCAAGAGCACAGCACACTAGACAGGTCGGTCACCGTGAGTGTGTTGTGCTCAATGTGACGAGCAAATCTCTCAGGAACTCAATGCGAAGTTGTGGAGGACCGTGCGAACATGGGTGTGATGTGGACGTAAGAACAACAGCGCCATCGAACATTTATTAGACCTGCAGTCTCACCATCAGTGATATTTGGAGTGTGATGGTGCGTAGCATCACAATGATGACTCATGACATAGCAAAATAGACATGTGGTCTAGCAGCATGAACATGAGGTCTAGCAGCACGAGGTCTGCTCTCACTCGTCTGGTCTAGCAGCACTCGTCAGGTCTAGCAGCACTCGTCAGGTCTAGCAGCACTCGTCAGGTCTAGCAGCACTCGTCAGGTCTAGCAGCACAAGGTCTAGCAGGGTTCAGTGCTCGTACTGGGCGAGGCGGCGCTGGAGGCTCCTGATGGTGGCGTGCGCGGCGTCCAGCTCCTGCTGCAGCTTCCCATGCTGCAAACAACGCACGCATTTAGTTAGGGTAAACTATTGCTATTACTTAATGTTGAATAAAATAATGTACTTAGTGTTAACTATGCAACACTACCCACCTAGCCTCCATGACCCACCTAGCCCCCATGACCCACACACCGGCTCAGGACCACACACGGGCCTCAGGGCCGGTCCACAGGACCACACATACATTACACCACATGTCAACATCCAGGGGCAAGTCTTCACACATTGCCAACACCAGCGCATTTATAATTAACATTGAGCTATCACTTTTAACATCTACAGTAAAGTTCAGTTGTTAGCGCCTCTGCATGATATTACAATGATCGAGAGTTAATATATATTTGTTTTGAGCAGTAATCTTGTTACGGGCCAAACTGCCTCGCCATCTTATTGAAGAAAACGATTTTTGACAACACGTCAAGGATGACATAGGGAAACATTTGTGGTGCGGGATTCGATTAACGCGCACAAGTCCGGCCAAATGATTGTCTACGTTGAAATAAACTCGTAATTTATCGCAACTAGCAAATTAAAAGCATTATATAGCGTTACATTACATATATAAAAACATTATTTAGAGTTACATTACCTACAACATCCAGGGTTTTCTCGAGCTGCCTCGCGCCATTAATAATTAGATCAGGTAATGTAATTAATGTTACAGTTGAGCGATGCGTGTGTAAGGAATCTGAATGAAACCTTACTAGAAATTTAATAAAATATATAACATTGTCGAAGCCACTAACAGCAATACTCTGAGCAACAATCGTCTTACACACTTAATAACTAGATAGATACTTTAGATAACTAGCAACTAGATATATACTTTTTAATACAAACATTAATAAAGGTGAGCGCAAGACAATGAGTTCACAGCAAACATTGCCGTCAGGTTCAAAGAATGTTACGTGCATCCTGCATTAAATGTACGGATTTTGTACCCATGGAAAAATTCGACTTAAAAATGCGAATGTTAGTTTAAAAACCACTTAGCTCCGCAATGAGTCTGAGTCAACCATGTTGGCTCTTCAGGAAAATGTCTTTTAAATAACGTTTATTGCCATTTGATGTTAGAGAACCTACTGAAGGAACACTGCCAGCAACTTGGAGCAATAATGTCGTTATACGGGGCACCGTTATCCGAGAAACGTGACGGTTAATACGGTTAGAATAAACGGTTAGAATATGGCGTCGGGTTTGCAAGTGATGAACTGATGGCAAGAAACCAAAGTTCTTATATTATGAGTCTGCTTAAATCGCAAGTTCATAAGGAGTTTAAAAGCAAAAAAAAAAAAACGCCAAGCAAATTCAGCAATCGTTATTGAAATATCGGTTTTGCGAATTTGCTTGGCGTTTTCTTTGATTTTAAATTCCTCGAAACCAAAGTTCCAACGCTGGTGTACTAACAAGTAGCAATTATTTGTACCAAACAAGCAAATATAAGTTTCAATAGTGCCAAATGGACACATTCAACTTATTTATATATTTCATAAACGTTTAACAACAAACAGAAGAGCTCAACCACACAGAACAACAGCGCCATCGAACATTTATTAGACCTGCAGTCTCACCATCAGTGATATTTGGAGAGCACCAGCTGCGCGGGCATAGAAACATTACTCTTTCGTATGTAAGATAGAAAATATAATATATTTATTTCTGTCACAAAGTTTTTCATACTCTTTCCGGCGGCACCAGCTGCGCGGGTATACAAATATCACTCTTATCATATATCTTATCTTATCTTATCAAAATATCACTCTTTTCTATGTAAAAACTCACGCGGATTTTCTTTATTCCTCTTTTGCAAGCAAAACCAACGCGGATTTAGAAATGGAAAAGATATCCAATAATATCATCCGTTACTTTGATGGAGCTCGATAGAGGTTGTGGATTGCGAACGAGAAAATTGTGTTTTATATCACTTAACTCTTTCGTCTCTAACGGGACATTACAGTAAGTCCCACCTCAGATTTTACGCTCAAAAATACATACAAGGAAATTTAGGTTCAAAGACCTAACGGATCTTCTACATTTGTATATACACCCTATAAAAATTACAGAGTGGAAACCGGCACACGCCACGAGATTTCTAACGCATTTTAATTCACCGGTTGACAACGAATGTAAGTTCAATTTTTCTCTCGGTATATTTGACCCTAACTTTTTTATTCAATATTAATCTCATCAATATTTGGTTTATTATGTGAATAAATCCATACTTCAACGAAGCATAACAAAGAAATGAATGTAGAAGGCTATATATAGTTGTTGAAAAAATATATAAATAATAATGACGACTTGTAGGTGCAGCCAGGATAGCCGTGACCTGAGGGCCGCTGTAGGAGTCACGTGTCCGTTGCTAGCAAGCAATACTACTATAAAATCAAAGTTTCATTCCTTCGACACATTTTTTATACAATTTATTAATATTACGGCGTTTTTATTCCGTTATTATTTATTATTTTGTTATTTCTGTAATAATATAATTTATTTCTGTCATATATATCCTAATAATAAGTATTAATATAATATATTATTAAAATAAAATATAAATTATTATAATATTAATATCAATTAATATAAATAGGTACTAAAAAATTGATGAAGATTCCGACATTGAACTCGATGATTATTAAACATCAGAAAACATTCATTTAGTGGATAGATGAGAAGTACAGGCCGATTAAGAACCTATTATCATTAAATTAGAATTTAGATGAACAAGCAAGACTTAATTATAGTGATGCAGCTTCCGAGTCTCCAGCGCTAGGCGTACAAACAAGAAAATGGAGAAAAACGACGAAATTCAGCATATCGTGAGTTTATTGCACATCCTTAACTAAATCATGTATTTGCTTGTGCTCTTGATGCTTTTTTACATTTCTCGACGATGGTCTTTTCGAAATGATTCAATTCTAGACCAATTCGAAAAAGTATTCAAAAGACGAAGCCTGCTGCTGCGACTGAACATGAAATAAAAGTGATCATTGGAATCAGCAATTATGGGCTATAATAGAGATAATCGGCTCAGACATTATTGATCCTCGTCCCCTGCCTTCGGTGTACTAATTGTTCCACCAGCCAGGCCTCGTGACATTTTCTTGGAAATTCAAGGAAGTTCGCACCTAAACAACAGTGCAAACTGAATGATAATAAGCACGACGAATATTCAATGTGAGACCATATCTTAAGTAACTGAATAAAAGCTTTTCCAAAGTAATAAATCCTCTACAATTTTTATCTGTGGAGGAATCGATAATCAAATCCAATGGAAGAAAATTCAACCTCCCGTGATAGAGAACAACATATAGAACTTGAAATCAGTCACGGTGATTGTTCAGGCCTGCAGAAGCAAGTTTAATAGATTCAACAGCAAATACAACAGCTTTTGAGCCAGGGATCACTGGCAGAGCGGTAAGCCACATGGGTTCTTAATTGGGAGCTACCGATCGCCCGTCGCGGTCTGCATACTGCGCACGACAATAAAATAAAAAATATAACTCAGTACTCACTGCAGTGAGTGACAGAGAGCGCATTTTCTCGTCGACGAAAACTTGAGGTCACGGACAGACGGACGGACAGACAGACGGACATGGCGAGCACAATAGTGCATTTTTTCCATAAATGAGAAAATGCGCTAAAAATGTTTCGTTTCAGGCAAGCAATACAACTAATTCCTGCCGTGAGGCCGGGGTTTCGAACGATAACAGTCGCTAGCTACTAAACCCCATCGTGCCATCGATACAGCTACGATTCCTGCAAGAACATCTACAATCTGCACGTGATGACCACGACTTCGCTACATTTCTGTGCGACCAACATCAACGTTACGGCCGCGCCGGCCGTGATTACATTACGAGACAACCCGGCAAGCAACCAGACGTGTAGTGATCATACAGCCGACCGTGAGATAAGTCAAGTGACTTCGAGAGTACGGCCCAACAGAGCCGTTTTACGGCCACGAGTTGGCAGCAACGTCACTAAAGTGGAAGCCATCACAGCCATTGCGAAGTACGGCTGTTAATAATTCGCCGACCATGCAGAAAGTGAGATTTCAAACGAAGAGGCGAGGCTATAACTGAGCTACTTGGGCAGGCTGGAGCGCCAGAGTCTGTTCACTGCAGAGGTGACGGGTGAGGTCTGTCATTCTGTACACATGGAAAATAACCGGAGTACATGGAATCTAATTTTGAAAGCGAGACCTTCAGGATTCAGACATACAAAAATGAGAGATAGGGGAGACTGCGCAAGATATTCCCAATGCAAAACAGAAAACTGCGAGCGCAGCGGAGATCCGCAGTGCAGCGGCCGCTGGTCTGGCGTTTGGCGACTTTCGTCACATCGTGCGAATTGTCTGCCTTTTAACCCACCTTTTAGCCGCGTTTTGACCCACATTTTAACCCACCTGCTTCCTGCTCTTCTTCACTATAGGCTGCGGCCGTAGCTCGTCCTCTGAGAACTTCCTGGTGCGCGGGTTGAACTTCTCGTCCCTCTGGCAGGTGTGGTCTGTTGGCGGGTGCACGACTTCAGTGTTAGAGGTGACAGAGACAAATACTCTCAGACAATTGAGAGAATTTGTCCAAATCACTCAGAGAAAAAAGAGTGTTTGTCCAAATAATTCAGAGAAAAAAAGAAAAAATGAGTGTTTGTCCACATCACCCAAAAAAGAATGAGAGAATTTATCCATCTAGCGATGCAAGTTTGGCCCGGCAAAAGGCGTATCAGTGCTACGTCCGCTCTCTGCTGGAGCAGGCGGTAAGAAAGTGGGTCAATATTAGTATAATACGATTCATATGTTTTTCTGAGTGACACTTACAGCTTAACAGGGATTAAATGCCTGAATTAAATGGTAGTATTAAGGGGAAAAGGGGAGGGGTGAAAGAAAGGGGGGGAGGAATGCTAAATGGGAGATATGAATGATGATGGGGGTGAGGGGAACGTTTATTGGGGGAGAGGGAGGGGAAAGAGGGAAGGGGCTGAAGTGGAAAAGATTGGGGAATCGCGTTTAATTAATGACTGATGTAAACCCTCCCCCNCACTGACCTCGTGACGACGAGCGGCTGCTGGCCTCCAGGTCCTCGTCAGGGTCTGCTTGAAAAAAAATATAAAGAAAATAAATAAAATAGTGTAATTTGCTCGCTAGTTCAACACTGAGCTATGGAGTTATTATGACTCGATGATGAAGAACAAGTTCAACAGTTAGAAGCTCGTCATGAAGAGTTGATGATTTGGTCTGTGTACACATTCTCAACGTGTCTCTCGTTACCTAACGTGATACGTCAACGGTCTCTCGTTACCTGTCATCATTATACCCGTGCTGTCATTGCCAGCAGCAATGACAGCACAACAGCAGCAGTGTCAGACCGCTGGTCAACTAAATTATTACAAGGATTGATGAAAAATATCGGCAAAATTTCGAAAACCTAAAGAGGAAAGAGGAGCCAATTAACACTCACTCTAAGCAGGGACTCAAATTCTGCTCTCTGCGCCGTGCAAGCTAAATAATTCGCGCTGATGCTCTGCTTTAACCATAATCTAATTAGCACATAATACAGCTCGAATCTAACCCGTTACCCACCAGACATTTAACGTTAAAATAACGTTGATTAAATGTTGTTTGACCGTCATCAAGTCGTAGTCAAAGCTCTTTCAATGTCATCTGCCTGGAAGTAGCTTCCTTTTTCATATCTTTACCAGGAGTTTAAAATAAATAGCATCGCAAATGGTTGAGTCACTGGTAGACATAAGAACAAAGCCTGCAAGACTCACCCCGCAGGCCCTCGTAGAGGTCGGCGAGCAGGTCGTCGTCAGGCTCCGAGTAGTTGGGAGCGCCGCGCCCTCGGCGTCTGCGCGTCCCGGCGGTCGACGCACGAGGCACGTGTTCTTTATTCCTGTTCCTGCTTCGCTGGGATCCTGCAGGTACTGCCGGGTCCTTGGGCTGGCCGGGGACTTGCAGGGTCTCGCTAATTTCTGACGAAGTCTTCTTGTCAGGACGACACTCGAGGGAAGCGCGGCTGTCGTCGAAGTCGATGCTGTGAGCTGCGGGGGCTTTAGGTGCCGCAGTCCCGCCCCCCGTGTCAGGTTGCGTAGTAGTGGCAGGGTGGCAATCCTGCGAGTGGTGGCAGTCCTGCGAGTGGTGGCAGTCCTGCGAGTGGTCGCTGTAGCTCGAGAAGGGGGAGGACTTGACGAAGGACTCTGGGGAGGAAGCGGAGGATGCACAGGGAAACGAATTCTGGACGGGAATGATCGGGCCGACGCTGGCTTTGATGTCGCAATTAGAAGAGAGGAGCACGGCGGGGTCCAGAGACCTCAGGTCCTCAGGAGAGCTCGAGTGACGCAGACTGAAGAAGTCTCCAGCATCGGATGCGTTGTTTGAATCATTGAATAAAAGTGGGGACTTGGAGTCCTGAAAAGCGTGGTCGGTCTGTGGGGCGAAATTAGTGGAAACTGATAGCAGGGGAGGAGGGCTGCATGTTGGGGAGTTGAGAAGGACTGGGCAGGTGGATGGGGTGTTGGCTGATGTGGCGTCGAAGTATTGTGACAAGAGACTATCGCTGCTAGTTATATCGCGGCTAGTAACATCACTGTTATCATTGGGGCTGAGTTTATGTGGTGTTGTGACGGTCTTCGTATTGAACGGATCCTCCAATGGCGCGTTGCTCTCGTTCAGAAAGTCCTCGAGGTCCACGAACTCGAGCTGCAGCGAGAAGAGTTACAAGCGATTAACAGAGCTCGCCAATTGCTCCGGGGCCATACTTTCAAAACTCGCTAAGTGAACGTGAGTACTTACGCTCTATTTTCTTGTCTATGATTTGGTGGATTTTGCTTGAAAGGCCGTCAATGATTGGCTGATGAACTTATGATCTCTTAACTTTTTTTGAAAGTACGGGCCCCGGACATCATGAGTTCTTTAAGAATCGCTGCTTTATCAACCTGTTCATGATAGTTAGACTCTCTTAGTGCTCATGCATGATCTGCGACATACCCACTATATAAATGAGTAAATGTAGCCTGAGAAAATATCTTAGCACATCTAGGGAATGAAGTTTTCTTTTGCTGTTAAAAATAATTATTATGTAATGTTTGTTTTTAGATGATGTGTCAATTCTTCTCACACTTGATTGTCAGGCTGAGGTCAAGGCATACTTTGTGTGTTTGCTGTTATGATAATTTATTATTTTGCTATAATTATTCACAAATATTTGATAAAGATTAGGAATTATTCACAAATATTTGATGAAGATAAAGCAATAAAGAGCTGACTGACCGCCACCCTGAGGTCGGGGTCGTAGGGCAGGGTTCTGTCCCAGAGGTTGGAGCCCAGCAGCGTCACGGCGCTGGGGGGACCAAGCTCCCCCTCCTTGCCCCCCTGTGCGCCCCCCATCACGTGGGGGTCCTCCGGTGGGGGCGGGGGAACAGCGTACCGGTCTGCGGGGGAAGAGGGGGGCGTTATGGAGGAGGGGGCGTTATGGGTCGTCACTAGAGGCGTGACTTTGTGCTGATGTCCAGCGCATGGTTCATAACATATATAGAAGCTATATAGTTAGGAGGTAAATTAAAAACTTACTGAATGAATTACTTATTAATAATTAATTACTGAATGAATTACTTATGTAATGAATTTTATTGAAGATTAAGGTGCAGCGGTTGAGAAGGTTAGGAATGTAGAGCCGAAGGATTTAGAGGTTTCGAGATCATGTCACCGAGATTGTTTAGATAGAAAGATGGCGAGCTTATCGCTAGGGAAATTCTATCAGTCGAGCAATATGGCTTACTTCGAGGCTTAGTCTGGCCGTAGCTTTATAGGCAAAAAATGAAGGCAAAATAAAGAACAAAAATAGAAAACAAGTTTATTTGGATTACTTTTTATACTAAAAATTTGCATATGCGCATGAAGTCGCATCACAGCAGCAGTGACAGCACAACAGCAGCAGTGACAGCACAACAGCAGCAGTGACAGCACAACAGCAGCAGTGACAGCACGACAGCAGCAGTGACAACTGGCAATAATTATTTATATATTGAACACTTTATATAAGTCATAAAACATGTCCATCTTTACGAGGCAATCCAGCAAGAAGAAACACGTTGCCGAGCTTCCATGAAGTACATATATACCTGCAGACAAGAAATGGATAGTAGTGTAGTTAGGCAGAAGTTCTTCATTTATACAGGTTTCATTGAAGACCATTCATTCGGTAATCTGCTTTTTGAACTCCAAGCTCCAGCTAGAAATTTCGTTCGGCTTATCGAAAAAAACAATAAGAAAATTGTAAATAAAAAGTACGCTCTGGTCTTCAATGAAACCTGTATAAACAAGAAATGGAATGCACCATTTCATGAGAAATCAACATTTTTATCTGAAATAAAGTAATGTCTGTTAACTGGAAGCTGGATCTTCTTCTTAGCTGTGCCTCGCGTGAACGGGAGCGCGTGATGCTACATTCAGCAGCTTGTGCTCTTCTTTTTACTCAATAAACCCTTCTGATATTCAACTTTTAAATTACAAAGTAACTTAAAGTAAGTTTATACTACGACTTAAGTTATGAGCACTTGTATGAGCACATTGCAAGCACTCGTAAGCAGTTGTAAGCCCATAAGCTTACAATTGCTTTATATTCAATATATTATTTTGTCACCAACTTGAATTATTAATTACGCAACAAACTGCATGATAGCGTGAGAGAAGCAAAATTTTAAAGTACAATAAATATAAAATAAAAAAACAACACAACAATACCGATGTCATACACGCGTACTTTCATGGAGTCTAATTTTGCAAACATAATAGAGAGTTTCTTTAATATATCATAACTTCTGTCAGTCGTTCAATGTAATTAGTTGAATCTGGTGCTATGAGATCACAATATACTGATTCTAGAGCTAGAATATTGAAATATTAATGACTAACGTTCATCTATAGACTGTTCTATTGACACGATACGCCTATATTAATCATTTATTGTTATATACCATGCTGACTTTGATGATTATGGTGCAATAATATGATTATCTTCACAATTATACGAGTATTTCTATGATAAGCTCATCTTAATGCTTCCAGTGTAATATGTTAATCATAATCAGTATGTATAGCATCATATAACACGTCAAGAAAAGAAGACATAAAACTGAACTGGTAGTTATATTTTGCACCTAATTTTAGTACTTCAATTTTAATTTAGAGTACAGGTAGATTGTATTAATATTATTATTCATACTATTTTAATTAATATTAATAATATAATATATTATTAAAATATTGATTCAGATTACAGGTAAACGGCGCGGACCAGGGGGCCACTGCGCGGCATGACGTGGACAACACAACTAGTATTTGTATGAGTGTCTATTAGAATGCATTTTAGTAGTAGCAGAGAAACATTCATCTTTCTCTCATATAGTCATGCAAATTTTGGTGCAAAATGCCTGATTTTTACTTTTTTTTTTACAGTAGCTGAGACAGTCGCATCAGATCCTCGAGAATGACAGAACAATGCAGCGACATGATCGAGGTTATGTAAAACATGGCATGTTTATGTCTGAAGAGTTAAACATGTGGAGTGCCACGTGGCTTAAGAAGTGACATGTGGAGTGCCACGTGGCTTAAGAAGTGACACACGTGGAGTGCCACGTGGCTTAAGAAGTGACACGTGGAGTGCCACGTGGCTTAAGAAGTGACACACGTAGAGTGCCATGTGGCTTAAGAAGTGACATGTGGAGTGCCACGTGGCTTAAGAAGTGACATGTGGAGTGCCACTTGGCTTAAGAAGTGACACATGTGGAGTGCCACTTGGCTTAAGAAGTGACACACGTGGAGTGCCACGTGTCTTAAGAAGTGACACACGTGGAGTGCCACGTGGCTTAAGAAGTGACACACGTGGAGTGCCACGTGGCTTAAGAAGTGACACATGTGGAGTGCCACGTGGCTTAAGAAGTGACACATGTGGAGTGCCACGTGGCTTAAGAAGTGACACACGTGGAGTGCCACGTGGCTTAAGAAGTGACACATGTGGAGTGCCACGTGGCTTAAGAAGTGACACATGTGGAGTGCCACGTGGCTTAAGAAGTGACACA